TCTCTCTCTCTCTCTCTCTCTCTCTCTCTCTCTCTCTCTCTCTCTCTCTCTCTCTCTCTCTCTCTCTCTCTTATTCTCTTTCTCGCAAAAGCAACTGGAATGGATTACCGCGGTGCGGTCTGGGATGAGCTGCAGGTGCAGTAATCCGGTGATAATGGAGTAACGAGATTCGCCCTCACGTACGTTTCCTGCATATTTTAACTCCGCATTTTGCGGCACGGTCGTACGTACGTGGCGCCGTCGGGTCGTTGTGCCTAAGCAACCCTTTGGCCGCCATCCCACTAGCCCTTTGCGTACATACGAACAACCGGTGCGAACGCAGCCCCCTCCCAACATTAAAATGCAATAACTTCCTATAGCTAGATTACTCGTTGTTTGCACGTGTATGTACATTTCGAATTTTTGTTTGCATACTTCCGGTGCAAAAGTTATTGGCGAAAAAATTTTGAGGAAGAGCCAATTTTACATTTTAGCCCCGTAACTGCGACACAATTGGACCCGAATAGTCTCAATCGATAAATTTTTGTTTGCATATTCCCATACAATTCAACTTTTCGTTTGCACATCCCTACTAAATTTATAAACAAAGTTTGGCAAGCGGTCAAACCGCTATAACTCAGCCTGGATAAAATTAATAGAATTAAAACTATCCGTAACAGTGTTAGACAGATTATTGTTGGGACATTCGCATTTCGAATCTTCGTTTACTTAGCTACTGGACTCATAGCTTGCTAAACTTTATTTGTTTATAATCTTATTATAAAGGATGTTCAAACGGAAATCAAAATAATCATTTTTTTAAATACATTTCGGTACATCGAAATTCTACTGTGAATAATTTTACAAAATTATCTCATCACATGCAAATCCTTTCACTCATTTTTTTATAAATTATTATAATATGCAGTATCAGATTAAAAAATAACGAAGAGTATAAGGATCATATGACCAAATGATTAATCTACAGTATGTGTGCAAGGTAATTCCGTCATTTAAATTACAACAGATATTCATATTATTAACCACTACTCATTTCACAAAAGAAAAATGTAGTTTACAAATGATTTTACTAATTTAACGAATTAATTCCAACAACGTAATCTGGTTAAGCCAAGAATATATATATATATATATATATATATCAGTTAGTTTAACATAGTAATTCTGTGAATTCAACAAAGTACAGTCAACGAAGCTGATTCCGCTAAATTAACAAAATGTCTTTCCCGAGCGCGACAATTATGTCCATCAACAATGATTCGCGCGCAGCGGAATTTCGCGCAAATTTGTTTAATCCATTCGATATCCTCCATTGTACCCGAAGGTAGCATAGACTTACTTCAGAATTGCGCTTCGCCCAACAAGAAATAAAGGAAGACGTATCAGATCGGCGTAGAGTGCAGAGAGGGTTGCGGCGCCCTGAGACACTTCGGAGCTGAGTTTTACATAATGTATCAGCGCCGTATTCCCCGAGAAGGATCGAAAGAGGGGATCTCGTCGTCAAGGTGAGGCAGCGCAATTCATGGGGATGCAGGGAGGCTTCAAAGCCCCGATGGAAATGAGAATGGCGGATTGAACGTCGCGCGCTTGAGTGGAGCTTAATAGGGCGGGTTAAGTTCGGTTTATTTGATACACCACCTCGACGCCTTAGACGAGATTGCCTGTCTCCGCCCTGCGAGACCCGATTGTCCGTGGAGCAGACACCAGAAGTCGCTGCTTATCCCCCCTTCCCCTCGAGAATCAGGAGAGTGTCATAAACCCTTTCAAAATGGGGAGACGTTTTATCTCCGAAAGCGTTTGGTAGATTTCAATGAGATTCAGTGCCCTCCCCGAGTTCTTATACAGTCGCAAATTGAAATGCTTTCTTACCGAGGATGTGTCGAAGCGTGAACATTAAGTCGGAGCGAGAGATTTGTCATTTTGCTATTTCAGTTTAAAATCGAATGTTCTTCAAAAAGACTTTTTTTTCCGTTAAAACAGATTTTTTTTAACGAAAAAAGATCTGAAGTCAACGACAATAAATCGCCGTAACTTTAGTCTAAAATGTATTTCAATGATATAACAAATCTATCGCGGTGAGTTTTTAAGCAATTTATAATATCTGCTCAGGTGAAACGTGCTTTCCGCAAACCGAAAAAATTGACACCGGCAGCGAGGCAAAACACTTTGCGCGCGATGTATGGTAGTTGCCGCACCGAGACGATGGATCGCGTCGGCGGGCGCGGGTAATTAATTTCGACCTGTTCTGGATTAACGGTTCCGTAATTTACGCGGACTTACGCAATTTGCGGCTTAGCTAACCGCATATTATGCATCACGTTATCGCGTCGGAGTATTACGCGCACGGCGAAGACGCGCGCGGCGAGTCGGGTCCAGGATCGCGGACGTATCGGCGTATCGTGCGCGAGATCCAGAAACGTTGAAACGTATCGCGTAATCTCGCTTTATACCACGTCCGCCGACGGATAATGGGATAACGTCGGCGCGCCGTTTATCCGATTGCCTCTTAATCGCTTTCATCCACTTTCATCTACCATTATCCTACCAAATGGACATCGTTACTATCGACTTCTTCGAGGTTGTATATTCGAGACGTAACTCTTTTCCGCGCGATTGCGGGCGTTACGTGCAGGGATCATTCGGCCGTGAAATGCGGCGAGGCTGCGGCGTCCGTCGCCGTCGAACAAACGAGTCTACCTCCCCAAGGAGGAGGAAGGGCAGCCTGAAACCTCCTCGTAAACGTGTCCCTGCCGCGCTAGAGACCACGTCCTATTTCTCGATGTTGGAGGGACCAGTCGGACCGCAGGCCGCGCCCGCTCGTTCTCGCGGCGTGGATTTTCAAAATGCCCGGCGGGGAGAGCGTGCCGGAGGAACAGCTCGAACGGGATTTTACGGGAATACGCGCTGGAATCCTATAAAGTATAGCCGCTTCGCGGTGGCGAACGGACGCATTCCGCGAGAGGAGAAACCACGGTTGCGAGATCGTTGCTATCGAGTTAATACAGTCAGTTGCGATTAAGAGGCGCGATGTCGCTCATCTAATGACGTGTCAACTCACTTGTTGTAAAGAACAATGTCGGGTAACCATATGTGTTCCGATGGTACGTGAAGGGTGTCGACACCGCCGTAGTCGTCCGGATTCCACTTCAGCTTGTAATCGTTCCATTCCTGAAAGCAGAGAAAGAAGAGCTGTGAGCGTGTCGTCGATCTAACGGGAATGAAGGTCCTAATCGATTACCGAGGGCGGTCTTTGACCGAACAAAGGAAAACGATACGAAAATGAAGGGAGCGCGAGAGCCGTTTCCCTCTTTGTGAATATGTCCTCTCTCCTTTCCTCCGCTCTACGCACAATTGCTTTCACTATTTTCCCACCGTATCGAGACAGACGTTGAGTGTCCCGATATCGCTTGTATTAAGTCGCGATGAGGCAAGAACGCTCGTTCAGAAAATAATATTTCTAACGAGGAACTTATTGTGCGAGGTATAAATGATAACGGGCTCGTGAAAAAAAAAAGAACACGGTGCAATATTTGTAATTGAATCTTCACCTTCGAGATAGTCCATAATCGTCTTAACTGCCCCCCGATATATATCGCCATTCAACTAGGGGACCCTTTGGCGACCGCCGGGCGTCTTCACGACCCTCATAATTACCTCGCGGAAGTTTCGTCCATCGCTACCGATATCCGGGTAGGAAGACGCGATATCCTATTTCTAAGATCCACTTTCCGGTTTATGCGTTTAAGTGAAATAAAACGATTAAGAGGTAAAGTAATTACGGGGTTCTCGGTTTTTCTCCCCATCCGCGGCCCGTCTCTCCTATCTTCAGGGATAGATTATCTACGAGTTTCCGCGCCTCTCCGGACAGATAGCGACGTTCAAATACATAATGAGAGAGGAATCGTTTTCCAGAGCAGTAGCCTTCGTCGTTACACCATTCGGTTAACAGAAGGAAAGGCTCGAGTTACTTTCAGAGCGAACTCGGCTTCATATCACACGTGTTGACGCGTTCGTATCGAAGACGAACTTATTGATCGGCGATAACGAGGCGATCGACGAGGTGATCGCGGCGGGGTTGTAAGATGGATATTTACGTACGTCCCGCGAGCCTGTCGCGCCTGATTCTAAGATGCGTCGATATTTTCCCGCGCGAGATGGATGCCTGAGTCGGTAGCGAAGCATAACTCACGGGACACCGATGTTTTCTTACGTCGGATCAATACTCCGGGGCGACGCCCGGCGGCCGAGGCCTCCCCCGTTTCATCGAGTTACAGCTTATAAATTTCGCTAATTCGTCCGTCGAACACCGGCCAAATATAATAGCAGATTACGTTATCAATAATGGAATAATCGCGTTCAAACAGCTCGAACGCGCATATCTCCGGGAGCGGAATATTCGCATGACCACAATTTGGTTTTACGTATAGCTCGGTCGAGTCCGCTAAGTAATCGTAGAACCATTTTGAATATTTAATTATTCAAATGTTAATATCCGATTTCAGAATCGTTTCTCGACACTACGCGGGATAGTGGAAGATTACTGTTGCGAGATAAAGGACTGCAAAATGCGGGCTTTTCCTCGAAAACCATTTCTCTTCTTTATATTTAATAAGTAAAATTTCCCTCCCTTTCTTCCACCTATTAATATAAGATATGCAGCAGCGGCCAACGCAGGGGGAAAATTGTATCGCGCCGCATAGTAATTTTTAAATAATTTTAGTCCTCGCGAACTATTAATTTATTTATTCGCGAGACTTTATTCTCATTATTAAATGGCTGCGGCGTGCGTGGAGATTTCATCGGTGCAAAAAGAAGAAAGAGGGTGACTTTATGAAATGGAGTACATAGTCGATCTCGTTGCGGCGAAAATAAATGCCTTTTATAAAGAGTTTCGCCGTTATAAAAGTGACCAGCTGTGTAATTTTGCAAGTTCTCCCGTTGCATAGATAACACAATAGCACTTGGTATTTTATTTCTTGCCCGTCCGCATCTTACTCATTTTAAATTACACGATTCGTTAAATATAATATACGTCTATACGGAACATTTTAATTTTAAACAAATCCATCGCAATAAAATATCGAGCTGAAGGACTGAAATAAGACTTATTTGTCCGCAACTAGTTGCCGTTTTAAAACGAGACGATCGCGCATATCCTTTGCATGCGTTTAGAATAATCTATTTTCGAATAATTTCCAGCTCGGCGTCAATTTGGAAACCGACGATTGCGAACGGCGCGATGCAAATAGGAATCGAACCTGACGGTGCAAGACTTACACTCGTCAAGAATTATTAGTTAAAAATCACTCGACTGCGGCGGGCGTAAGTTGATCTCGTCATCCTACGCGGAATTATATCACGCGGCAACGCGTGACAGAAAACAGCCGCTGCAGGCGCACCTGCGACGTATGGTTTGTGCTGGTGCGGCGCGTCGAGTTTCGTTGCTCTTGCAGGCATTAATTATTCCGCTCGCAATTAGCCGAGTTCGGGTAGGTACGTATCTGGCATCGCCGCCGCGGAGCGCCTAAAATTCCCCGCACGATCCAGCGGACTCGGATCGAAATCAGTTACCGTGGCGCGCAACGAGCGGAGCACTCGAAGATTTTAATTACCTGCTCTTTTACAGTTTTCTGTGTCCCCCTTTTTGCCCTCTCTTTTATGTCGCTTGGGTGAACGAACGGCTCTTACGAACGAACTCTTTCAAACAAAAAAAAAAGAAGAAACTACGAGGAGACTTGCTCGAATGCGTGGATTAAGAGTTAATTTATTGAAATTGATCATCCGCACATACGAGGCGGAGGGCCAGGGAGCACAATTAGGCATTTTTCGTAACGCTCCGCTGAGATAATTATTGACATGAGAAAGCGGTGTGTAATATGAATAGATGCATGCAATTATATAGCGCGCACTTTAGCAATTTCCCTACGTTGCTCGTCCCCCTCTTACCCGCGGGGGAACGAGATGATAAACCGTCACACATCTACCACGGAAAATTATCTTCCTGCTAAAACGATTATACAGCGGCTCGGATGATTCCGACGTTAATTTAGTACGCAGTTCTAAAATGGAAGCCTCGCAAAAGGGAAACGCCCCAAGACAACTTCGCAGAGCGTATTAGAGCGCTCTATATTTTGGGCGGATTGCAATCAAAGTGAGAAAACCGAGGAAAAACTAAAACTTCGGCACTAAATCCTACTAGCGAACTTTCGCGAGAGCCCTGCGCTTTGCTAAGGTTGAAACTAAAATTAACCGAGCAGGTAATTTCGCTAATTAATCCGGCGCTATTGCAGAGGCACGCAGTAGAGGTGCCTTGTAAGACAGAATATTGAAATACAGCATTGATTTAGTAACTGGAAGAAAGTTTCACAATAAACGCGTGTACGCGTATTTTATTCCTCGCCCATCTACTTCTCTGACCGAACAATTTGATTGCGTTGTACGAATTTTGTTTCTTCCACCGGATGACTGTAGGAGGAAACTTTTGCTTTCACTACTGCAATACGCAGACGTTGTTGTCAGTGTACTTTTTAATAATTAGATATTAACAAATTAAAATTATAAATAAGGCTCCAATATAAACAACTATAAATTTAGAAAACAATATTAGTCGTTGAGACGATAAACGAGAAGATATATAGGCGATGGGAGCCGTCACCAGATTGAAGGTGGTCAAATTATATACAATTTTGATATAAAAATATATTAGAAGATATAACGTAACATTGCAATAAAATTGTACGTTTCGGTCTCCGAAACACACTATTCTGACTTGCTACAAAGTATAAGTTGACCATTTAACATTTTTACATATATTTCCACTCATAACGACCACTCGTTTGTCATGACTCATCGCTTCTTAATAATATGTTTAGACTAATC